CAGAGCTGAAATTGCTGCATCATATTGTAATTCTGGTTTGTTTGTTTGTTTGTTTTGTGAGGAATTGCCATACTGTTTTCTATAGCAGTTACTTTATTTTCATTACCACCTCAGGTATACGAAGATTATAATTAAGTGCATTCTTGCCAGCAGCTGTTTTTTTGTAGTAGTTATCCTAATAGGTGTGAAGTGGTATCTCATTGTATGATTTATATTTCCCTTATAATTAGTGATGTAAAACATCTTTTCATGTGCTTATTGGTTATTTGTATATCTATTCTGGAGAAGTGTTAGAGTCCTTTTTCTTTTTTAAATTGTAGGGTTTTTTTATTGTTGCCTTATAGGAGTTTAGCTCCTTACCAGATACATGCTTTGCAAATATTTTCTCCTATTCTGTGGGACAACCCACCGATTTTATTACTTGCATAGAAGGATTTTGGTTTTCCTCTCTCCTCATAGCACTTTTTAACTTTGACATGTAGACTAATTTCTCTATTTTTTCCTATTTATTTTCAAATCCCATGTCATATAGCTTTCCCTTGTGTTTTCTTCTAAGAGTTTTATAGTTTTAATACTATATAGGTCTTTCATCAATACCAAGTTAATTTTTATATATGGGTCCAGGTTTTTTTGGTTTTTTTTTTGAGAGTCCATCAAGTTTTGAAGAAAAATGTTTATTATCTCATTGAACAATAAACTTAAAAATCTACTTTTGTGATATTAAGGTTTTGCTAAAATTTATAGATTTAATGGCTTTTATTTCACATGTTCATATTTTTGTAAGTGTAATATTAAGTACTTCCTTTGAGTGAAGACTTGATTGGATGCTTAAGCAAGTCCATTGAAATATTAGAAAAGCCAGTATAATTTTGTTATTGAAATTTGTATTTCTGTCCCTTTGTCAGTGATTTCAGTGAGCTTCTTGCTGATAAATCTAGGCAGGTTTTGTTTTAAATAAAATTTCATTTACCATAGGTTTATATTACTACATAAATTTGAGGAGTACAGCTTCATAAATCAGTATATGTATGTGCCTCACCACACACACCCACACCACAATTTTAGTACCGTTCATAATATCAGATTGATCTGTCTTCCCATGCCCCATGTCCTTCTCTTCTGATAACCACTATATTTTTACATAGTCTGTGAGTTAACTTTTTTAGTGTTACTGGATTTGGTGTGTCTGTTTATATCTCACATATGAGAGAAACTATCCATTGTAGTCTTCTTTTTCTGATTTATTTCACTTAGTAATCACCTCCAGTTCCATCCATGTTTCTGTAAAAGGCATAATTTCATATTTTTAATAACTAAATAGTTATTTGATGTATGTGCTTCTAAACATTCTCATTAAAATTACCCAGACATTGGGGCCTCCCTGGTGGCGCAGAGGTTAAAGTCTCAGTGCTATCAAGCTATCACAAGCCACTATGTCATGCATTCGATTCCCAGCCGGGGATCTAACTCACATGGCACTGCAGACCTCTTCTCTCCTATCTCGCCGGCTGCTCCCCTCAGTACTGTTTCAGTAGATCCACCTATTCTGTTCCTCATGCTGTCTCTGGCGCGCGCGCACACACACATACGCACGCGCACACACACACATACCCCCAACCCACATACATCTCTGGCCTACACCCCACTTCTTCTATGCAAAAATAAATAAATAAAATATTTTTAAAAGATAGAGAATGATTTGAGCAAACTCTTGGGATTTAGAACATTTATCTAAAAAACAATTTTTTTTCCCCAGCCCTATTTTAGAATTAGAAATTTCTAGTACATGGGGCCTCCCTGGTGCCTCAGGGGTTAAAGCCTCAGCGCTATCAAGCTATTGCCAGCTACTGCAGAATGAGTTCAGTCCCTGTCCAGGGAGCTAACCCACATGGCTCAACAAACCTCCTGTCTCAGCGGCTGCTCCCCTCCGTATTATATTTCAGTGGATCCTCCTGCTCTGCTCCCCACTCTGTCTTTGGTGAATCCTCTCACCCCCACATACCTATGGCCTAGATCACAGTTCTTGTATGCATAAATAAATAAAATAAATCTTAAAAAAAAATTTCCAGTACATGAAACTATATATTATTTTTTTTAAACTTTTTAGGTTTTGTTCTCTTTTTAACACTAGGTTTTTTTTTGTTTTTTTTTTTAAAGATTTATTTTTATTTTTACAAGAGCTGGGGTACAGGCCAGATGCGCGGGAGAGTGAGAGGATTCACCAGAGACAGGGAAGAACAGAACAGGCAAACTGACAAAATACATTGCTGAGGGGAGCATCAGGAGAGACAGGAAAGGTCTGCCGCACCATGTGGAATTCTTGCTGTCCAGCCAGGATCGAACGTGTGCTGCAGAGACTGCAGACAGCTTCACAGTACGGCGCTCAACTGCCTGCGCCATCAGGGAGGCCCTCTTTTTAACAATAGTTTAACATTTCAACTAATTATTAAGTACTTTTCCCCTTTTCCTGTAGTATCTCTAAAAGGATTAACTAATTTTTTATTCTGATAGCATTTTAGATAAAGAGTCATTTATGGTATAGTTTTTCTCTAATATGTAAAAGACCTCCAGATACTTTTATTGGTTTAGAACAGACTTTCTCATTTAGCTTATGTTGTAAATCACTAAAGCAATGTTTCTCAATTTAGCTTGCATCAGAATCACTTGGAGTACCTGTTAAACAACCCTAGAGTTTCTGATTCTTTCAGTAGAGGATAAGATAAGGGCCTCCCTGGTGGTGCAAGGCATTAAGACCCAACCTATGAAACTATCCACAGCCGGGCCTCCCCGGTGGCGCAGCGGTTGAGCGCTGGTTGCGAAGCTGCCCGCAGCCTCGGCGGCGCGGGTTTGATCCCGGCTGCTCCCCGGCCACCGGAGGAGGGTCCCACATGGCGCTCAGAACTCTCCTGCCGCCCGCTGCTCCCCTCAGCAGTGTACTTCGGTCCTTCTGCCTGCTCTGCTCCCCGCTCTGACTCTGGTGAATTCTCTCACCTTCCCGCGCTTCTGACTGTACCCAGTGCATGTATAAACACACAAAAAACAAACAAACAAATAAATAAATAAAACATGCCTCAAAAAAAAAAAAAAAAGAAAGAAACTATCCACAGCCACCACAACATGAGTTCCATCCCGGTAAGGGAGCAGACCTCTCCTGACTCGCCCGCTGCTCCCCTCAGCAGAGTATTTCAGTCATTCCTCCTATTCTTTTGTTTTATTTTTTTAAATTATTTTTAAGGGTTTATTTATGCATATAAGAACTGGGGTACAGGCCAGAGGTGGGGAGGGTGAAAGGATTCACCAGAGACAGAGTGGGGAGCAGAACAGGCAGACAGACCGAAATACACTGCTGAGGGGAGCAGCGGGTGAGGCAGGAGAGGTCTACCCTGCCATGTGGATTTCTCCCTGGCAGGCTGGGAATCGAACCCGCGCTACACAGGCCGCGGACGCTTCACAGCGCTGTACTTAACCCCTTGCGCCACCAGGGAGGCCCCATTCCTCCTGTTCTGTTCTCCACTCTGTCTCTGGTGAATCCTCTTACCACCACCACCTGCCCTGCAATACCGCTGGCCTGTACCCCAGTTCTTATATGCATAAGTAAATAAATCTTTTTTTTCTTTTAATTTTTTTTTTAATAGAGGCATGTTTTATTTATTTATTTGTTTTGTTTGTTTGTTTGTTTATACAAGCACTGGGTACAGTCAGAAGCGCGGGAGGGTGAGAGAATTCACCAGAGCCAGAGCGGGAAGCAGAGCAGGCAGAAGGACCGAAGTACACTGCTGAGGGGAGCAGCGGGCGGCAGGAGAGGTCTGCGCGCCATGTGGGACCCTCCTCCGGGGGCCGAGGAGCAGCCGGGGATCGAACCGGCGCCGCAGAGGCCGCGGGCAGCTTCGCAACCCAGCACTCAACCGCTGCGCCACCGGGGAGGCCCAATAAATCTTTTTTTAAAAAAAAAAGTATACAGTGAGATAAAGAATTTTCATTTCTGGGCTTCCCTAGTGGCACAGGGGATAAAGACATAGCGCTGTCAGGTTATTGGCAGCCACTGCAGCACCAGTTAAATCACTGGCCGACCAGGGAGCTAACCCAAATGGCACAGCAGACCTCTCCTGTCTTGCCTGCTGCCCCCCTCAGCAGTGTATTTCAGTAGATCTGCCTGTTCTGCTTCCTACTCTGTCCCTGGTGAATCCTCTCACCCCCTATACCTCTGGCCTACACTCCAGTTCTTGTATGCATAAATAAATAAATCTTTAAAAAAAGAAATGTAATTTCTTACAAGTTTCCAGATGATATTGATTCTACCGGTTGGGAAACTTTGCTTGTGAAACACACTGCCTTAAGACATTGTTGGTAATAAATTAACTTTTCTTCTGAGCATCTAGGATGGTACTATTTACATATCATCTTTGGGAAAGTGGGAAAAAATAGTCACTCAGTAATTTTCTCTATGTGGTTAAATAAGAAACCCAGTTGAAAAGATTGGCTTGGAATGATCTCATTTGCATGGTAAAATGGGCGTACTGCTTAATTTCTTAAACATTTGAAATATTTTACTGTTATATTTTTGTATTAATTGGCTGAACAATATTTTAACAGATGCTAAGAATTGTGGCTGCTTTCATAGATAGCATTTTCTAGATTAATGTTCACTTTATATAAATATATTTAGAAGATTTAATTATTGTATTTTGAGCAAAAAACTTGCTGTTTCAGAATGTTTACAGAATGTTTTCAAACTTTCGCCTGTTTGCTCCCTATCCTGTCTCTGGTGAATCCTCTCACCACCACCCCACCTCTGGCCGGTACCCAGTTCTTGTATTCATAAATAGTCTTCATAGAAAGATTCATTTATTATAAAGAAGAAAAATGATAGGCAGATGCTTAAGATAAGTCAAAATTATTTTTAGCTCCAGTAGCTTTTATATTTTATTCAGAAAGCCTCCTCTTTGTTTTTGTCATTCAGAGCATTCTTAACTGGGATATTTCCCTAATTTGAATTTCAGGGCAGCGGCAATGACTCTCCGCACGGTATTATTGTCATTGCAAGCACTATTGGCAGCTGCAGAGCCAGATGATCCACAAGATGCAGTGGTAGCAAATCAGGTAAGATAACTACTTTTGTTCCTCAATTTTTATTTGTAAAAAATGTTTATGTAACTATGTAATTTTGGTGGTGCTTCATGCTTCACTTTCATGCTTCACCTCCACCAAACCTTCGGTGCTGATGATGTCCTGATCTCCTTTCTCTATTCCCCTATTTTATCTTCCTCTCCTCTCTCCCCTCTGGTAACCAATATATTTTTCAGAGTATAAGAATTTTTTTATGTGCTTTTGTCACTTTGTTTTCTCCAGTTGTAAATTGTTTTCCTCTTAGGTAAGATTATTTTGTCAATTGTAATGAAAACTATTTAACACATTAGTTTAATTGGGTATATTGTTGGTAGGTCATTTTTGTCTAGCATATTATAAAATTTTTCAAACTATGTTGAAAGAAATACACAGTGAAGAACCATATTCCTACCTACAATCTGCAATCTATGATTAACATTTTATTATGCGTGCATTATGTGGACATCCTTCTATCCCTCCTTTCAGTGATCTCCCTGATAGTGATTTAACCAGCTCTTCTCTGGTACTGAAATGGCTTAGTAAAGGTTACCATGTAATGCCAAATGGAATAAATACTTTTCAGTTCTGATCTTTGATCTCCACAGATGTCAGCAAGTTACCACTAGATTGTTTTTGTAAACAGTGTTTTATTGCAATACTGCCACATACATTTATTTACTTGTCCAGCTATAAGTGGTGGAGTTGACTAGTTGGGACAAAGATGTTGTAACATGTCTGAAAGCCTAAAGTTTTGTTTGTTTGTTTGTTTTAAGATTTATTTTTATTTATTTATATAAGCACTGGGTACAGTCAGAAGCGCGGGAGGGTGAGAGAATTCACCAGAGCCAGAGCGGGGAGCAGAGCAGGCAGAAGGACCGAAGTACACTGCTGAGGGGAGCAGCGGGCGGCAGGAGAGGTCTGCGCGCCATGTGGGACCCTCCTCCGGTGGCCGGGGAGCAGCCGGGGATCGATCGAACCGGCGCTGCAGAGGCTGCGGGCAGCTTCGCAACCCAGCGCTCAACCGCTGCACCACCGGGGAGGCCCTGAAAGCCTAAAGTTTTAAAAAGTTTGCCGACTCCTACTCTGAACCATCCGGATTTACTGAGCATTCTCTTGACTTGAGATACTACTCTCTTCTTCTCTTATTATCTTCATTATTGTAGTTACCCATTCTTAGTTCCTATAATTTTTTCCTCTTCTTCCTCCTCCCAGTTAAATATATTTCCTTGGCCCTGACATTGTTGCTTGTACCTTCTTTTCTATACACTTGGATAATCATATACACACTGATGTAACCACCTGTGTACTGATTTACCACCTGTATGTATGTTGATAAAATGTTCACACTTGCCCTCATGAACCTATTTAGAACTGAGTAAGTCTATGTAAATGTTGCATGGGTACCTCAGCACTATATCTCTAAAACTGAATGCAGGATCTTAGACCCTTAAAACCTTAAAGTTTTAGGTGCAGCGCTGGTTCGATCCCCGGCCAGCCGGCGAGGGTCCCACATGGTGCGCAGATATCTCCTGCTGCGCCCGCTGCTCCCCTCAACAGTGTATTTCATCTGTCTGCCTGTTCTGCTCCCCACTCTGGCTCTGGTGGATTCTCTCACCCTCCTGTGCTTCTGACTGTACCCAGTGCTTGTATAAAATAAATAAGTCTTTTTAAAAAAAGAAAACTTAAAGTTTTTAATTTAATTAAATTATACCCTTGTTACAGACTTGAAGTTCTCGGTTTCCTTTGTCTTGCCCATTTCATTCCCAGTATCTCTCTGTCATTATACTTCTGTGATTGCCTCAGTTCACATTTTAATTTTTTTTTAAAGATTTATTTATATAAGAACTGGGTACAGGCCAGATGCACGAGAGGTTTAATATTTCCCACTATTAAACTTGTTTCAGAGTCTAGAATTAGTGGTTTTACATGTTATATTTATGGGCCATCTATTCTTTTTTTTAAGAGTTATTTATTTATACAAGAACTGGGGTACAGTCAGAGGCGCGGGAGGATGAGAGAATTCACCAGAGACAGAGCAGGGAGCAGAACAGGCAGACGGACCGAAGACACTGCTGAGGGGAGCAGCGGGTGAGGCAGGAGAGGTCTGCCACGCCATGTGGGTTTCTCCCTGGCCGGCCAGGAATTGAACCCCCGCTGCAGAGGCTGCAGACAGTTTCACAGCGCGTTGCTCAACCTGCTGTGCCACTGGGGAGACCCCATCTATTCATTTTTGGTAGAATATGTGTCCCAACTGTGATTTACTGTTGCGCTTCTAACCTCTTAAGATCGCCTACCTCCTAAAACACTAACAATTTGACTTATTTCCTAGTTGACAGTTAATTGTAGAGACTATGTTTATCATTTTAATATATAATAGAAGCTCAACAGTCTTAAAATATTCAGTATGTATCAAGTACTTTAAAAAGAAATATTGAAGCAAGTTTATCGGTTATTTTAAATTTGTACCTTTTCTGGTGGTCTGAATTATTTGTGAAAGTGCTTTATGATAAGTTTATAATCTCAAAACATGCTGTAAGTTAAATCTTTGCATATGGGCTCTACTTAAAGCACTGTATGCTAATGCAGCTCTAGCAAAACAACAAGTATTGTATTCTAGTCTGAGCTGTGGTTAACACACAGTTGATCCCATTTATTTATGTCCAAGTAATTTCAGGAACTAGTAATTCTTTTTTTTATTTGTATGTTTGCTACTACAGGGTGTTAAGAAACATTTCTTACCTTGTTTAGTACTAGTTTTCTGCTAGTTACATTTGTTAAAATGGGAGATTAAAGTTGATAGACTTTGTTTTTCTTTAGTCAGCATAACTTGTAATCACAGCTTCAGATTATTTTTTATTTATTATTTTCTTACATCGTGGGTCCAGCTTCAGATTAAATAGTCTTCAGTCTTGAACTACATTGTAAACAAAACATTTGTTTACATTGGGAAGCAAGTCACTAACATTTTAAATATAAGTTTTATTTATACTTAAAAGGAGGTTCTTAGACAATTAAGAACTGAGCTATTATATGAATATTGTAATTGTATTTCATGTCAATTTCCCCTTCCTTTATAGTACAAACAAAATCCTGAAATGTTCAAACAGACAGCTCGACTTTGGGCACATGTGTATGCTGGAGCTCCAGTTTCTAGTCCAGAGTACACCAAAAAAATAGAAAACCTATGTGCTATGGGCTTTGATAGGGTAAGTACATAAAGGCATGCTGATTTTGATACGTTGATTTACTTAAAGTATTACTGCAAATATTTGGCTGACAAAAGTAGTTTAAATATAAAATCTAAATCTAGATTTGATAGATGAAATCTGTTACTAAAAATCAATGATTTTGTATTTTGCTGATTTCATTCATTGAAATCATTCATTGAATTCATTAGAAGTTTTCTTTAAATTGACTACAAGTGTAAGGTGAAAGGTGTAATTTCTTATTATAATGATTATTTAATATCTTATTATTCCCTATAGATTTGATTTTCTGTCTCCTTTTCTTCTCTACAGAATGCGGTAATAGTGGCCTTGTCTTCAAAATCATGGGATGTAGAGACTGCAACAGAATTGCTTCTGAGTAACTGAGGCATAGAGAGCTGCTGATATAGTGAAGCTTGCCCCTTCCTGAGGAGCATCTGTTATTTTTAGGATTCTGCATAGATTTCTTTTAAACTGGCATTCTTGCCTAATGATGTTATCTAGGCACCATTGGAGACTGAAAAAAAAAAACCCCTGCTCTGTAAATAAAGCTAATTAAACGTCTGTGTAAATTTAAAAGGGGAAATACTTTAATTTTTTTCTTAATAGTGTAAAAATTCTTTGAGCTAAGCTAAAACCATGGAAAAAAACATGCTACTTTAGTGTTTAGCAGTGTACCAAGACTAGCAAGAGTTTGCTTCAGGATTTCGTTGAATAATTAAGATAATATTTTGAGTGTGTCAGGGCCATTCAAATTGTTGGTGTTGCATCACAGCTACCTTAACTGTTTTTAACATGGATCCTCTGTGCCTGTGAATTTACTTGCATGCTTGTACTTGACTTCTTAGAATGGGTAGCTGAAAAGACCACCATTTAAGCATTTGAGAATTCTTAAATATAAGATTTATCCACAACTGAAGATGGTGACCTATTCAGAGCCTTTTTGTCCTCGTCAACAGACTGGACATCCTATTTTTCCCCTTTTACCACACACAGCTAGTATTCTGATAGTGAATTTCTCTATATTTGGTGGGGATATATGCTGAGGGACAGTATCCCTTGCTCCATTTTTTGGTCATTTATTTGGAATGTTTTGTCACAATTCCTTGCTCTTAAAGCTTTCCTGTACAAGTAATATTGTAAAAATGGAGCTGCCATTTGTTTCTCTTGCAAAAACAGTAAATACTTGATGTTGCAGTATTCCCAGATTTAATGAAAGAAATTAAGTTACTTGTTTTTCAGTGAATATGACATCTTCCTATTTTTTTAACTAATGAAATTTTTCTTTGAGAACTTGCAAGGATAAAATCAACTAGTTTTTTGCCTAATTTTGGCTTCATCGAGATTGCTTTATGGGATACATTAAAAGTCACTCTTGCTTGCATTTACCCCTATTAACAGATGAAAGCTGTGTTGGTGTTTTACTGTACATACTTCAAATGCACATAGGAATAGAAGTGTGTTATAAATCTAGCTTTCTTTATGATGTTTCTGATAATATGAGAATTGAAAACTTTACCTTCTCTTGTACATAGCCAGACTTTCTATTCGTATTAAAGTTACATTTCATTCTAAGTTCAAAAGTTTGAAAATTATTAGTTTTGCAAGCTCAAACACTAATGTGACCATTTTATGAAGGTTGAAATGGATTTATGCAGGCAGTTCTATACATAGAAGAAACAGTTCTTATTAAATTTCCAGGACCAGTAAAAATAACAAAAATGTAATGGAATCAGAATGAATTAAAATAAGGCTATATATATTGAAAGTCATTATAAAAGGTTTTCTTTCTTCAAGTGTTAATTACCCTAAATTATAGTCATTAAGTGTTTGGAAAATGATTTTGAACCATAAGTTACATAATTTCATTTGACTTCTCAATAATCTTAGAAGCAATAAAAGAACCATTATTAAATAATATTATAATGTTAAAGATGTGAAGGTTCTTCCAAAAATTTGTAAGGCTATCCTAATTAGTAAACTCTTGTAGTTGATATTATTGCATACTAGACACAAGTTGGTATGTTTTTTCACCCTTTATGTTTGCTTAAGCATAAATTCCTTTATATAATCACCTCCTTTAATTGTTGTAGTTTAGTTACTTTCTAAAGATGCCAAAGGAAACAAGATTTTTCTTTATTTATTTTAAATAGCTTAAACCTTATACTTTTCTTTATATTTTGAAGTAAGGTGAGACTGTGTGAACGTATGGAAAGTTTTGTTCCATTGTTGGTTAGAATTAATTTTTTTTTTTTTTAGTGGAGGGCAGCTTGGTATTATTAGTAATATTTGAAATATCAAACACATCTATCTCTACCCAGTTTACTATTTGCCTATATTATCAGGGTATATTTAATTGTCCTGTGGTTATACGAAGGAGAGAGAGAACTCAGAGGCTACTAATGTCAAGCATTACATACTTCCTTTTGGAGGCAATGATACTTTTACCTTCAATTTTTATGCACACTAACCTCATAGTGTATCTGCTCATCTAACTAAACATTCCACTGCCCAGGAAATTCAAAAGCAAAATATTTGGTGTGAGAAGTTCTCCATTATTAATTTTTCATATGAAAAATTTACTTACCTCATTTACATTTAATGTGATGCTTTCTTTCTGGTACATTTGCCACTGTCCTTCTTGAGGTTTTGTTATTTTTCACCTCTTTGCAGGTAGATTAATTCTCCAAACAGAAATTAAGGCAATTCCTGTTTTCCTCTGGTCTTAAATATGTTTGAGAAAAGGACACTAAAAGTCCAGGCCTAGGGAAAAGGTACCCTGGTGGAAATTTTGTGATATGTCAATTTTAAGACTTCAAAAATTATGGTGTGAAAATATACATGTATGCATATATATACACATACATGTGGGTATGTGTACATATATATAGGGTGATACCCCATTTGGGGCAGACATTTGCTCAATGTCACTGATAGTCCAATAGACTTTTGTTATAACTAGGTCTATTTACTGAGTATGTGCCTGATTTTAAAAGAACAAATAATTATGGATAGTATTTCAGTACAGATTGCTGGATGAATGAAAAGCAATTTTTGGCCCAAATAAATATACAGTAAATAGTACATGAATGTTTTAAGAACTTGGTACTAAATTAGATGCTCTGAGTTGGCTCTTCCAAATGGTTTAGAATTGTTACTATGGTTTATTTAAACATACAACACATTTAAGGGTATATAAATGTTTAGATTCTAAGTATTTTGCTTTTGAGGAGAGTAATCTATGAAAAAGTAAGACTGATTTTTTTTTTTCTCTTTTGGAAGATTTTTGCATTTATGATTGTTAGTGGCACTTAAAACTATGCAAAATATTTTTTTTTTAAGTATCTGTAAGGAAAAATTGGCAGTTAAGCGGAAATTGCTTATTTATGCACTACAGAATACAGCAATTGTGTTACTGTTGAGGCTGCTTTAGTTTATCAATGTGAAAAGCAGATCCTTGGCTATAAGTATGCCTGATTTGAGTTTTTAAAACTCTGCAATAGGAGTATGATAATGTTTCTACAATCCTTGTAGCAACACGGGGAAATAAGGCATTTTTTGTTGTTTTAAAGATTTATGATGGATTCAGGCAGGGAAGAGTTGGAGCCAGTTATACCTACCTTCTTGTACATAGATGGAAACAATGGTTGGGTATGAAAATGGATAAAAAAGTGTTTACAGTTAACTTTATTTCTTGGATTTTTACAAAATGATATTGTATTAATCACTTTTTCTAGTTGAAGAAATTTCAATTCCAGGGTACAAACCATTAATTTTTAAAAATTACATTTCCATCCTCAGTACCAGTTTGAAATAAATGCTTAAATTAACATCAGCTATTTGCTATCACTGGGGAAGAAGGCCACTTGAAGTATTTACTGATAAATAGCCTTTTCCCCAAGTGTGACTTCTTTGCAGTGTCTACATATAATGTCACATGTTCTGTTTGCTCTGTTGCAATATGGATCAAAAATCTTGTGGCATAGAGGTAGGGGAATGTCAGTTTCTCCCTTGTCCTGTTTGTTCTGTTACTGCTTTGTTGAACTGACCTATCCTCATAAACCTGTGATCATCACCTAAATGTAAGTTGTGAATGTGTCACCTTTTGCTTGGTTATTTCAACCTTGCTGCTATATATAATCAGGTGTGGCACAGTTTATTAGTTTGGTTCTAGGGAGTGAGTGGATATTGCACTGTGCTATAAAATGATCCTTGTGTGCTTGCTGTTACCTACTTTTTACAGGCATCATAATAAAAGCTAGACTATTTCTTTGGGGGGAAAGAGACTTATTTAATGTAATTTAAAGACTTTTCCAATAGAAAATGAAAAACTATTGAAAATAATATCTATTTTTTAGCTTTCAGCAATTGATGGTGCTTTGTTGTGGTGTTTGCTGGAAGTCTACTGCCATTATAGGGATTCTCATTAACCTCACTGAGAAAGAACCTTGCTTGTTAGCTTCTCTAGATCTTTATTCTAAACAATCTGTTAGTGATGATAAATTCTGTAGGAGGGTCTATTCTGAGCCGTTAACTTCCTGTAAGGGGAAAATGGGTGGGTTACCAGAAAGACCATTGAAGCAGGGTGGGCTATGGGTGGAGGGTTGGGTATTTGTCTTGAGAATTAAAAACTACGAAACACTTTTGTATACAACTGATTTTTAAAAAAAAATAATAAACACATTTTTAAAGATGTTGAATTTTTTTTCCCCCTTACTGGGAATTTTGAAAAATAAATGCATGCGTGTTTTCCCCTTAAAATGTTTTATATCATCTTTCTGGGTACTCATCTGTGAAGAGGCAAACAAGTAAACCAGCTAGGTATTCTAGAAAGTGTCATAATAATGAATATATAATAAATGCAATGAATTATAGTGGGTCTTTGGATTTTGAAGCAAGCTGAAATTGTTTAATCCTAGATAGAGTTTGAAAAGAGAACATCATTTGGTTAGGTTACAATACAAAGTTTAATCCACAGTTGGTACTGAAGTCATGCTTTTTCTGTTTTCATATGTGCACACAATTCTTTCAGGAAAGGGTACCTATTTCCATCGAAAGGATTCTGAATTTTTTCAGAAATTTCTGGGTGACTGTTCTTGGATTATCCATCTCCATTAATACTGACAATTTGAAAAGACTGTGTTAGTTAGGATTTGTAGTAGGTGCTTCACAGGGCAAAACTGATTGTTACTTTGTGTCTCCAGGATATTTAAAACCAGCTTTCAGCAGGACTATGAATTTCTATAGCTGGGGGATGGAAATGCTCCTGACTGGAATACCAGGTGAAGTGCTTTTTTCATGGATCTTAAAATTCAAGAATAACAAGTGGAATTCAAGTGAGCTCTCATACCAGCCTCTACCAAAAGATGGTCAAATTTAAAGGGTTGTAAACACTTGGTGTGTGTTTTGTTTTGATCACCAGAGATAAAGATGTTCACTAAACAACATCTTTGAATGTGAATTCTCTAATAAGCTTTTAGGAATATCTCCTACAGTAATGCACAATCTACTCATGTATTCATGTTGTGATGTTTATCTCCCCACACCGATTAACATTAAATACAACTTAATCCTCCTAC